TAGACATTAAATTTTAGCCTGTTTTTTAGGTTAACATGTAAATTTACATTTATTTTATTCTGTGATTTTTACTTGTTGTGATCTATGATTTAACAAAACAGAAAATGTATGAAATAAAAAACAAAACATCAATTTTTAACAGTGTCGTTAGCGTCACTTGCGACCATCACAGTCACTGTTGGCCACAGCACTCCTTCTGTTACTGTGTAGTTACTGTATTATTATTATTATTATTATTATTATTATTAATAATAACATTGGGAATTCAAATATCTTTTACAATTACAGTCTTGCCCGATGTCACTTGGCGTACCATCATTCAGTTTGGGTAAGTCTCTGTTTCAGGTGGGACGACCCTGCGACGGTTCTTCTGTTGACACAAACATCTTTCAGGCTCCGGAATGATCCATCACAGTGTTTACCCGATTTGGAGATGCCTGGTACTTTTTTAATGAGCCTGCTGCTCCCTGACAAAACAACATCAACACCATGGGTACCGGCATGAAAAAGCTACATCAGAAAGCTCTCGTTTTAATACCGGCATCGAGCGATACACCTCAATTATGATAATGTCCGTGGCGTGCTGTTTCAATAATAAAATTCCTCAAACAAGCAGAAGGAGCCACGGGGGGAACCAAACCATTGTGTCCCGTAACAAGCAGAATGTTCCCATTTACTGCTGCGCGCGCTTCCTACCAGCGTTCTTCACTTTGAACGTGGATGTGAATGAACGCATTGATATTACTGACGCAACAGGGCCGCATGTCGAGTACACGCTCTGATGTTTATGGAGGAGGTTCTGGGACTGAAAACAAAGAAGCGAATGGGTGGTACGGTGAAAGGGCAACGGAGAAGAATGGGCAGCTTTATCCTTATTAACCGGAATGATAAAATTAGTCTTTCTTTGACTACTAAACTACATCAAAACATCCTCTGTATGTCTGTTCCTGGGCCCCAGACTGCTTTATTTGATGCACTGCTGCTACATTTGCCACAACTCTGAACGGATGCTTCTGGTTCACTTGAAGATTAGGATCTTAGCTCACGGTTGACAAACATTCACATGCGTCATCAGCTAAATTCTCCCCTCAGTGCATCACTTCAAACCCACCAGCCCTGTTTTTTCTGCACACACACATACGGGGCCGCTAATCTCCGCTTGCATTTTGTTTGAGTGCACACACTCTGCAGGGGAGAACACACTCAAACACACATTTTTGCACGCACATCCTCAGTACTGCCTCCATCTCTGGCGGTGTTTATCTCTGTCTCTTACTGTGTGTCGCTGGAAGTGTTCATATTTCGTTTTTCACCCTGTTGTGACACTATAGTGACTGATGCTGCACCAAGTTGCAGGTTTTTTTTTTTTTTAAATTCTCCAGGCTGTGTAACACTTGTGCCAGCCACCAGACTACATAGTAGTTTGGTTTTGTGACTTTGCGTTAGATAATCACAGTGTCAAACTTGTACTGTGGAAGACTATAAGTTGGATCTACATGTGCATGTACAAAAGAGAAGAGCTGTTAGGGGGGATTTATGCTCTGTCCATTACTGAATAGACCTACCAGGCACTGACTTGGTTCATGGCCCCTGACTAACACAGATAGATGGAACATGACCACAAAGAGTTGTGAAACAACAACAAAGAGTCACGGAACTACTACAAAGAGACACACAAACACTTCAATTAGAAGTGATGACCACAAGTCTGCTTCAGTTTGGGTGTCTTGCTCCTACAGCAGGAAGCCGGTGTCTCATAATGGATACCCCTTCTAAATAAGGGCTGTCGCATGCTATGACCATTCTTTTTAACTTACTGAAAGGGGTTGTCTAACTATTACATGCAGTGATTTGAGACCTACACCACCCTCTAGTTCTTCATTTGTTACTCAGCTATTCTAATCTTTTATGCACACAAACCAGGGAAGTTCATGATTAATTGTTAATCAATGAATTGCTCCTAATAATTTAGCTGATCAAAGTTATATTAACTGATGAGATAGAAGACGAAGGACATGCATGTCAGGAAATGTATTGTGCATTAGTTGTAGTACCTGGTTGCACCACCAGGAGGAACCTCTTACTGTTTAACACTGTAGTGAACAGAGGTTGCTTAGACTACCAGCAGTTCTGTGTTGGCAAACAGAGAGCAACATGGACGTTTAACTAGTAAGGTGCCACCATGAGAAAGTCTCCTGTGACACTTAATGCCCACCAGCTAGAGCTCTTGTGCTGTAGGTGAACAGAAGTGTGGACTGGTGGTTGATTGTCTACATAAAACAGCTTATGTTATGTGACTGTGTTCAAAACAGTTTCATCAGGACGCAGAATGACGTCCACTGACTTCATTTTGCATAATCGATTGCTGGCTGAAAAGACTGCCGATTATCAGTTAAACAAATAATCAAAAATTGCATCCCCAAACCAACACAACACTGGAGAGGCTGTCTGAAAAAATCAGTCCTTAAATGAGATCATTTGTCTCCTTCACTCTGATGAAGGCCATCTCTTCACTCTCCCTTCAAGTGTAGCAGCACAGAACAATTATAAGCACTTTGATTTCCAACAGCACGTCTTGAAAACTAGTTGAATGGCTGTGAGCTAAACTTGGAAGGTGAAAGAAAGTTAACCTTGAATCACTCCGAATCACTCTACATTTTCAGTTTTTCCTTCCCATTTGCTAGAGAGAGCGTTAATGTGTGGGAGATGCACTGTAGCACGAAAGGTCAGACAAATTCTAACAGGTTCACTGATATGCAATAAAACACCATCCCCCTGTTGCTACTCCAAATTGAGCACAGGGACACGGTTTTATTGCTGAGTATCATGGAACATGTAAAAGGTGTCAAACTAAATGAGAAATAGCAAATAAATACTAATTATTATGGGACATCCCAGATGGCATTTCAGGCATCTTTCACCCTGGCACAGGAGAAGTCTCTGCCAAAGCTCGTTTTCATTCCCGTCACCACATCTCTGGACTATTATCCTGGAAACAAACCCACAGACTAAGATTTACTTACTATATATATAAGAAAAAATACAATAAGAGCAAATGAATATGATACTTTGAGTAGAATTACAGCATTTCTTCATCACTTTTCTCAAAAATAATAAATGAAAATAAAACAAAATGATGATTTTTCTTATTAATAGACGTCCTTATTATTGGTTTTCAGTCCAAAGAATATCAAAGTGCTCTGATTTTCACTATAAAAAAAAGCACATTTTTATTTTAAACCAACATATTTCTTTCATCTTTGCTAACCACCCGCTATGTTTGAAGAACGCCTCATTCTGGGATTTTCTTACTTTTAACGTCTAAAAACCAGAATAACAAAATACTATGAATATGCTGTAACAATACAATGAAGTATCCAAAAGGCACTATATGTCAGTTCTTGTTCAAATGAACAAAGGCTGTCAACAGATTGCAAGGAAATAACAGCTTTGATGTTATGCCAAAGACGGTGGGTATTGTGTTGCAGAGATATCTACTGTAGTTATGAAATGAAATGAAATGAAAAATACTTTATTTATCCCAGAAGGGAAATTCAATTAGCATACTAACCAGCTAATCTGTCCCGCTGTAATACCATTTTCTACCTGAAGAGGCGATAGTGGGTCACTGTAGCATTCGATCCGTGGTTCTGACTGGTTCTTTGTAATTTAGCTTTTAGTCAAGCTGAAATAAGGTGATGTCGCTGATCCTGTGAGGACAATTTAAAGGGGACATTTCGCGCCACAGCTGGCAACACAAACTGTATCAATACATTTCGATGTGTGGTTTTCTGTGGCTATTTTCTTGATACTGTGGTCTTTCTAAAACTCAGCAAAACAAGCTATAACATACATAAAAAAGTTGAAAAAAGATTTGATAAGAGGAGGGAGCAGAGTGATTTGGGGAAAAACTGTACATTTCCTTGCACCGACTCCATGCCGTTTCCGATTTTGGGACTTTGGAATGGCTAACATGACAAAGCATATTCTAAGAAGGAACCAAGCGCACATGCCAACATCTGTTCAAAGTTTTATTTGATTTTTGAATGTTAATCTTTCATATTGCATCTTTCAATACATACTTTATCTCTGTATTCACAACCACCAAGTGGTTGTGGCTGGTTCACTATTGATAATGTTACAGCAGTGACTCAGCATTTGTCGGTTGTTGTGGTAATTCTGTTGGCCTCATCATATACGCTCCAGTTCTCATAACTACAGTAAAACACACATTTGAATCTGTTAGAGGCATCAACTAAAACATCCCCAGATCTCTTTAAAGTCAGTAACTGTAGCCATACAAAGCTGAGCGCCCCCCCAGTTTGTTCTTTATTACCAACAAATGAGCACGTTGACAGATGTTATGACCACATAATAATCTTATGCTTGATAAAGACTGTAAACTAGTTGTGTTAAAGTAGGAAATTGTAAAGTACTGTGACTCCTTTAGCATTGCCTGGTATTACTGCGCTGTGTGTGTAAACCTAGACATGTGTGGGTGATTCCCCTGAAGCCAGTGAGCTGTCAGCTTCCCAGCAGAGGTGAGAGGGGAGCCAGAGGAAGCAAAACACACAAAGGAGGCTTATAGTGCATCTTTGAAACTGTCTATAAAATGATAGCCCACCGTCTGACTCTCAACGTAAGAGGGATGGGATGAGTCAGGGGAGTGAGTAAGTAAAGTGATACTGGTTTTAATGGGAGCCTTCTCACCGAAGCAGCGTCATACATCAGGATGACAAATGACAACATGAGGTGTAACAGGACACACGGTACACTCATGTCTTCTTGAATGTTCAGGAAGGTTTCAGGCCAAATTAAGCAGTGACAAATCTGAAAGTGGTGTCGGATTTGCCTGAATGCGTAAGAGCTACTCACTTAAAATTGATGATTTCATGCTTCGTGGGCCTTAATTCGTGATCTTATAAATCCTTAATTAAAAATGAATATCTTTAAAAACTTTTGGTGTTTGTCCTAATGGCTGCTGTCTCCTCTCCTCTCAGCTCTTATGTACAGTGGTGGCTGACATCTCAGCCCGGGTTTTGACCACCACCAGCCCAGACGATCAGCCCGTCCTCTCTCCCCGCCACTATCAGCACACCGACCGAGACTCGGGCACCCAGCTGGTCTGCGACAAGTGTCCGGCGGGAACCTACGTCTCCGTCCACTGCTCTCCGACGGCCGTGAGGGAGTGCAGCCCCTGTCCCGAGGGCACCTTCACACGGCGGGAGAACGGCGTCGAGCAGTGCCATCGCTGCCGGGCTCCGTGTCCCGCCGGGTTCGTCGAGAAAGCGCCCTGCACGGCCACGCAGGACCGGGTCTGCACGTGTCCCCCCAACAGCTTCCTGTCGGGGGACGATGGCGCTGAGTGTAAACCCCACTCGCTGTGCCCTCCGGGGACCAGGGTGAAAAAGCGCGGCAGCGAAACGGAGGACGTGCTCTGCAAGCCGTGCACCAAGGGGACCTTTTCAGACGTGGTGTCGAGTGCACTGAGGTGCCGAAATCACACGGACTGCCAAGCTCAGGGGATGGTGCTGCTCGCGGCGGGGACTAGAGAGACAGATAATGTCTGTGGACCACCTTCTACAGCACCCTCGCCTGCCTCCACAACCCCTTCACCGACTGTGCCCGTAGAGAAACCCTGGCATGGTGCAACCACTCCAGCATCACTGACTGGACACGCACATAAAGGTGAGACTAGGGGGTCCATGTTATTTTCTATATAGTTGTGTATGCTATGTTTTATTTTATTTCAATGTCTTATTGCTTATAAAATAGCTTTACTTTGCTTCTATTACACTTTTGCAGTATGTTTCTGTCACACCAGGTAAAAAAAAAAAACAGATCAGTATCATGTTATAACAGTTTGTTATTGGAAGATGTTTTTCATACTTACAGCATTCATGTTATAACAAGATAGCCTCACATTATTAAGACATACAAACTCACCATGCTACAACACAAAATTCCTCATGTTATAGCGCGATAACTTCTAATGTGAAACTCATGTTTAAATGAGAAAACAGGGGACGGAGAACGGTTACATTGAAGAATACTCCTCATTTACACAATTTGATCGACTTCTTCTTCACGCCTTGGGTGTGACATTCTGCTTTTATTAAACACGGTGGGTGATATAGTGATAAGTATGCATACATTAAAAGGGATTCTAAAAGGCAAGCGGGCTGTACGTGAGAAAAAAAACGAGTCTGACCCTCTGGAGGTAATATTTCTCATTAATCTGCTGGAGGGCATCAGACGCTCCACTGATACATGACTTATCCTGATATCATCTATCCTGCTTAATGACACCAGATTATTGCCATTTCTCAACCCGGGCATAAAGCAGAACTTAATCAAATCACGTAAATGATCAGTTTTCCTGAGTTTATCTGTACATGGATTTATTACAGTACAAGTTATCACGTCACAGTGTTGTAACAAGTTAAATAGTGTATTGTTATATACAATGTGATAAGTTTATATGTCTGAAAATATCTTGCTATAACATAACATCTTGTTATAGCAATAAATTATTCACGTTAAAACACAAAATTGATCTGTTTTTAGTTTTTCGGTGGCAATACGCTCACAGTCGTATTGCAAATGTGGGGAAAGAAAAAAAGAAAATGGGATGCACTTTATAAGACATTTGTGCCCGTGTGGTAGCTGCTTGGCTCATTTCGCCTTGATGTGGCTTCATTCATCTTCAATCATGAATTTACTCCATATCCTACTGCTTGATCAAATTTTTCTTACACTGTCTACAGTATAGAACTTTTGAGTCATTCCACCTCGATTCACTGAATGTCCCACACCTGACCATCTTCAGTGTGACAGATTTTGGTGATGTAGGGGTGAAGTGGTGAATAATAGTTGAGTTGACAATGTGTAACATTTGGGATCATAGGTGACATTAGTTCTTGAGGTAAAATGCTCAAACAAGGTAGGGTCATGGCTGTTTTTGTGTTGTTTTCTTCACGCCAATCTATGGAGAAACCATTAACGTGCCATGACTTGAGACATAATGTACCTAGACATGTTGTAGGCTCATTGATATGTGCATGTGGTCTACAACAAGTGGTGCAACTCTAGTCAAAACATGTCAGTGTTTCTGTGTCCTCCAATATTCCACTAACCATAAAACCTTTTTGTTTCACCCTAAGAGGCGGATTTTCTTTTCTTTTCTGATTGGTACCAACCACAGGAAAGTACAAATAAAACCACCAAATACAGACTCTAAATCGGCTCTTTACAATAAAACCCCAAATAATCCTACATTTTCCTTATCTGCTGAATAACACAAACTTCTCTGTCCTTGGCAGTTTTAACTCTTCAGTTGCTTTGTTTGGAGGGAATTTCGCACCATCACAGAAACAACCTTAAAAAGTAAAACGTAGAGTATGGTGCCAGATTGAAATGACCTTTTTTTTTTTAGGTTAGATTAGATTGGATTTTATTTTTTTGTTTGGTTTGGTAGGTTTGGTCAGTTGTTTTTTTTGCATTCATGGCCAATATTAGGACGGTCATTGAGCAGGTATATCAGAGGAAAGCACTTTGAAAGTGTTCCCAACTGGAAGACGTATATAATATTGTTACTGGGCTGAAAGCAAAATGAGTTTTTCAACTCATAGTGCTTCAAATAATTGTATAAAAAGCTGCAACACAAGCAATCACGTCCAAAAAGTCAGACAAATATAAGATGGTCAGGCATGAACTTTATTTATAATTGGTGAATTAAAGTGGAATGACTCTTTTACTCTTAAAGGAGACTTCTTTGGCTTTCTGGTTCTTCTTAAAGAATTTTGCAACACAATGTAAAAGCCCTTTACACCTCTTCTATTATTTCTCAAGTTGTTGTTGCAGCATCATTACATAAATGACCCACACGTTTTTTTTTTCCCCCCCTGTGGGAATCCCCAAAGAGAAAGGACATCTGTAGGCATGGAAACAAACTGGTGGCTGCTCCCTATCTCAGGAATGCTGCTATTTGTGGACAGGAGGAGTTATGGGGTGTTTCTGTCTTCCTCCATCACCATCCTTTATCAAGAGAGGATGTGAAAAATCCCTCCTTCCCTTTTCCCCTTTTGTCTCTCCTCCCTCGTCATCTCTTTCGCCGTTTCTACGTCAGTCAGTCCGCCGGTCATTTCTCAGAATCAGCCGTCCACAGTTGTCGTCTCCCTCCTCCCCACGGAGACCCCCCTCCCACACCTATAACACTGTCACTGCTGTTTGTGTTGGCGTGGGGATCGATGGCCTCTCAGCCAGTTAATTTGACCCAGTCTGCGCTGTAAGAGGACCTGCGGGGGTGGACGGGTGGGGAGGTGTTACGGACCCATGGCTGTTATTTTTCACCTGTCTTTTACCATCAGTGTAAAGGGGCGTAGGGGTGGGAGGGACCACCTCAGTCTGGGACGACACAAAAGCACAGAATGAGCTGTAATGCACATGTACTAAAGTGTCTCAATACGATGGGAACAGCAGTTGTAAAAGCCAACCTGCACTCATTATGACTTTATGTAATTCAACATGCACAAAGGAGTTGAAGTTACATCACAGATCTCATAGCAACCATGAGGGTCTGGTCGAGAATTTGCTTTAAATGTTAGAATCCATATAAACTAGATGTAGGAAAAGCAGATGCCTGCATCTGGAAATCAATGAGCAAAGCTGGCAGAAAGTGGTTTACTCCAAACTATGCTCATTTTTTTATCTTGATAAAGGATTAGAAAACAATTTGTTAATTTCCTTTCAGTGTTTACCAAGAACTCATGATAATCCAAGATCATTTTTTATTATTTTATTGTTTTACAAGTATATATTATATATTTACTATGATGACCTGCTGTAGTGTTCAGGACTACTAAAGAAATGGGGATTGGGGGCAGTTCACTGAAATTGATGAGTTTGTTCTGATCATGTTGAAATCAGCGGTCCATGCCATGTGACTATCAGGTTATATTAGAAATCATAGCCAGACCGATTCCAGATTTGGTCCTTTTCATATATATTCATACAGTATATTGAAGTTTTATTAGGAAGGGATACTCATGGCATTATTGTTTTTTTTTTGTTTTTTTTTTAACTTTCCAGCAAAGTATGTCATGAACTAATTAGACATCGCTTGGCTACACGCCACATATGTGCTCTGCTACATGTACTGCAGGCAGTGCTGAGACATAATGTGGTTGGAGCTGCTCTGGTGAACAAACTATTTCTAAATGACCCAAAACATCTTTTTCTACATTGTTTGTTTCGCAAAAGGAAAAAAAAAGAAGTCTTCATGTTGGACATAGACCGATATGGGACGACAATATCTGTCAACCGATGTACTGATCAGGCCATAGTTTACTGCTGTGCTCTCAGTGGTGCTTTAAATTTAATGCTGGTAATGGTCATCATGTTTATGGTTCAAGATAAGTGGGTTGACATTTTACTTTTGCTAATTAGTGCTAAAGACAAGGCAGATGATTGGAATGTCAGTCAGTGACTGTTGGTATTTGCTCAAGTATCGGACAAGGTGAATTTTGACTGTAGGGGTCTATAACTTTCTGTACTATACTTAATGGCAATTCTCCAATAAATATTGTCATAATAAAATTTCTAGGGCCTTGTTGTTATCATGGCTAATAAAAACAGACTTTGACTCAACTTCAATATCTTACAGGCTTCAATCCAACAACAACATATTAGTATGCATTATATATCTTAGGGAAGCTTCATCATTTACAATCTGCACCTTCCTTTCATGCCATGTTGTAATGGTATTCATATCAACAAAGAGCCACCAAATTGGAAGATTGAAGTTTAGATGGACTCATGTGTTTGGTGTCCCTCCTATTTTGAACTTTTGTTACAATATATAGGATAAAGACGCTAAACTAGACCATTAACACTCATTGTTCCACAGAGGTAGCTTCTGTTGCGGTTGCCAGAAGGTGTCCTGAAAGTCGTGTGCACCTCGCTAAAAACGTGACTGCATGTGTTCAATAGTTCTTGACACCAGCCAAAACATCAGCATTAATTTGGGGGATTAGACTTGCATCTGTGTACCTGTCTGCTGATAAGAGGATGAGAGGGATTTACACCCATCCAGGTGACAATCCTAAAAAACATTTAGCAGCCCGTTTATGATTATATAACACCAATCCCATTAGCAGCAGCACACAGGGGAGCTGTTAGCGCTCACACTGATAATCAATAGAGGGAAATTACACACTAATATTGAGTAGTTAGGTCCCTTGTGTGAAAAACACTGTCGCGGTGCCCATAATCCTAATTGTCCTTTCCCGTTGCAACAGATTACTGAGATTTGTTTGTTTGTAAGAGCGTCTGACCAATCCTCTCTCTATTTAAATTGTTTTTTTTTTTTCAAAAACATTCCTCCAATTAAAGCCTGATTAGATTTGTCCACTTAAGCTTGATCAAAGGGCCGACTGTGGGATGAGCAATTCAGAGCTCATCTGCAGCGAGATTACGAGGTGGAGCACAGCTGGGCCTGAACAAAGCAGCAGGAGGAGGAGAGTGAGATTAATGACGTGTTTGCAGTCGAGGAAATAAATAAGCCACGCTTTCACAGATGATTCACTTGTTGAGTGATGCAAATACACTGAAGTCACTCAAGTCTGCTGTGTCCACAGTTTATAATGGGACACAATCCCTCGGGGTACCCATGTCAGAGTCATGAAAATCTTTTGGTTTTTGGTTTACAATTTGCTTTGAGCAGCACTGAGATGTGTGGTATGGGCGTCCATTTATCTGTTAGCAGTGCTGCCACTCTAATTTTGATTTACCTTGAAATAAAACCCAACCAGCTCAACCAATGAGCCAAACGTTATGACTATTCCCACTTAATCTAAACTGCTGAGGCATGGACTCTAAATGTGTTCTGTGGTATCTGGCGCCAAGACATTAGCAGCAGATCCCCTAAGTCCTGTAAAATGCGAGTTTGAGCCGCCGTGGATCAGACTTGTTCCTGTTGCTGGTTCATGGCTTGTGCGTCCTCTGATCACTGTGGTAGGTACTCACCACTTCTTGTCTCAAAGCATCCCATAAGCTTTGCTGTTTGGTGAGGCTTTAACTTAGTTGTCTGGCTGTAGGAATTTGGCCTTTTCTAGTTGTGCAGATCAAGCTGCAACCTCCGGGGCTGAAAAAAATCAAAAATAGCAATTCCTTGAATGGCCACCATGCTCCGAAAGTGAGTCAGTCCCTATAGATGACAATGTTAAAATGTCCAGCTTTACAACGTGTTTACAACCTGGTGCAAAAATGGGTTTTGGTCTCTATAAGTAAAATCCCTGTTCATTACAGCTCTACAGGGGATGGATCTTTATACAACTCACCTGTTTACATCGTATTGAGGCTGAAGGTTATGCATAATTAAGAAAGGTGAATTCAGGTACTGTTAAGATGGTGACAGCAGAATCCCTCTCTACTGTATCTCCAGCATTTTCTCTCAACATGCTTTCTTCATGTCTTATCTTAGAAAACACTTCACTTGTGTCCAAAGATTCAAAGGTGAAATCTACTGTGACTTGATCTATGTCCCTTTGCCAAAAAATGTAAAATGGATCACTACGTATCTCTCGAGTCACAATTCTTTTAAACTAAATTCAAGCAGTTGGTTACTTACGCAATGTTTTTGTGTAAGGATTGTTCTCATATTTTTAAATATCAACAGTGTTACCACCTTCAGAGCCACAGAACTGGATTGGCTCCAGTTATGAGTACACTGCTCACCCAAGAATGGAGGAGGACAGCAGCGATAAGGGAGAGCAGGAGAGGGAGGTTACTCCTTCCTCTGTTTGCACGGCAGATTGCTTGCATGGATTAAAGTGTTAGGATTCCCTCCAGTGATGCCTTCTGTTTTCATTGTCTGGGTTAAGCAAATCTCCCAAGTGAGTGAATTTAATTCCCGCTCTCTCTGTCTCCCTGTTGTTTCTCACCTCTTACTTCTGTGCTATCTTTGCTCTCCTTATTCTCTCTCATCTCTCTTCTTCTTCTTGCTCTATCTTTGTCTCTATTTTTCACTCTGTCTCTTATCACAGGTACTCACAGGGAGTCAGCAGCCATTCAGCTGAGGCAAACCCTGGGTGGGGGAGCCCACAGAGTAGAGGGGCTACTGCTTAGCCATCCTGGCACTCCCACCTCACCCAATAGCGACCCACCATGGACTCCACCGCCCCCAGCTCTCAAACAGCCGATGGAGCATAAGCAACAGCGGGGGCAACCCAACTCTGACCCTATGCCAGGACCCAACAAACGGGCAATGGAGGGGCTGGCGGGTGCAGAGGTGGTCAGGGTTGAAACAGGTATCAGTAAGGTGGCCGGGCAGGGGAGCGGAGGTGGCGTCTCCACTTACTACAGGCCCACTCGCAGGGGGTCCCCAAGGCCGAGCACCCACGATCAATTTGACATCAACGAGCACCTGCCCTGGATGATCGTGCTGCTGCTCTTACTGGTGCTGGTGGTGATCGTGGTGTGTAGCATAAAACGGAGCTCCCGGGTGCTGAAGAAAGGCCCGATGCAAGACCCCAGCAGCATCATGGAGAAGGCGATTCAGAAGAAACCATCTGCCCCACTGACACAAGCCAGAGAGAAGTGGATCTACTACTCCAATGGACAAGGTAAGCCTGCTGCATATTTGATTTCAGCATCTTGGATTCTCCTTGAACTTGGAGGTGGGTGAGACATCACAGCTGAAGGACAAAACTTTCCTGGGGTACGAATAGCATTTAATTTAAAAAAAACAAAACAAAACATAAAATTTCACTTGGAGTTTGTGGAGTTTGGCGCTAATAAGACACATGGTTGTAAGATCTCCCATAGATGTTCAGTTGGTTTACGATGTGGTGGCTGGAAAAGCAATGCGATTCACATCTTCTCCTCATCAAGCCATTTTAAAGTCGTGTTCCAAAAGATTGTAATTAAATGGTTGTTTTTAAATGCAGTGACATCATTCTGCTATCCACTATAGAGAAGGTTTTTTTCCTTTTGACAGCACCAACATAGATTTGATTGGAAAAGTCAACAAACAGGCAGTCAAAAGTGAAACAATGATTTAAACCAGTGGTACTTTGATAATCATTAAGGTTTTGAAATATCAAAAAGGGTTCACATTTACAGTAAAAGAATCATGTTTTCTACTCACCTGATAGGTCAGTTATTGGTGTTGGGTTCAGGAAAGGCCACTTCTCTGGATAGAACACAATGTCAATAGTAAGCAGGATGAAGAATGGATATGCTATCGTCTTACATAGCTTGCTTACTAAATAGCAACAATTATACTTAATAAATAAGTAACAACTCAAAATAAACCAACATATCTTTCACCATAGTAAAGTGGAAGTAAATTATATGGATGCACAAAAATGGCATTTCCTTCTGACTGTACGGCTAAATATGTGCACAAATTGAACTTCCTTACCTCTGATACAGTTTCAAATTAGACACCATAACAAACAGCAATATAATCGACCCACAGACACTGATAAGAAAGAGAGCTGGAAGCACCACGTCTTACTGGAATTGTCTGTTTTTTCTATAAGCAACCATCTGTACCAAAACTCATTATGTAAAATGTCCATGATCGAACTGCCTTTAAAGCTCCATCAAAGTTTACATACAATCAGAGAAACAGCCTTGCAGTGGTGTTTTTATAATCTCAAGGCTAGTTTCTCTATCTGCTGTACATCTGCAGCTAACATGGCAGGTCAGTGACACTTTTCTGAACACAGGATGTTCCAGTCTGATGTCATGACATGCATTAGTTCTGGTCCTGAGCTATGCATGTAGAACCATCTGCTGATCGAACTGCTGTTGGTGTCTGATCCAATCAATTCTACCCCAGAGCACATGGTGTGCCGGGTGCTGGTTACACAAGGAAGGACATGACCCTGTTAGTAGTACCACCCTGCTGTCACCATCCACCTCCAACACCCACAATATTTCGTCTCTTGCCTGTCGCCTTCATTCGCTCCTCATTCCATTTCTTGTCTCGTTCCTGTTCTCACTTGTAAGCCTGCCTGCCTTTATTGCTTGATGGTGTCTCTACTGCTATTTACACCCCCAACTCAAGGTTGCCTTCCTTTTCGTCTGCCAAGGTGGGAGCAGAGGTGGAGGTTTGTGATCAGTCAGTGTCTGTCTGTCAGCAGGATTACACAAAAACTACCAAACTCTATTTAATACAACTTGGTAGGGGGCTCGAGTATAGGTCACATGCTGAATGTTAGTGCAGATTTGGCCACTTTTGCTAAAAATAATTTGATCAGGCGTACAATTCATGATGTACGCCTGATTTTTCCTGATTGGGCACAGCATGTCAAATACATCAGTTACTGTCAGGCTTTGTCTTGTTTTTAGTCTCAGTGGAAGTGACCTCCCTCCCCATTGTATGTCTTTTATGCCCCATGCTGGTAGTGGAGCACCAGCATGGAGAATTTCCAGTAACCAGCTGGTAAAAGACCTCAGCTGTGTCCGGAATCAGTCACTACTGAGCTATATAGTGGGTTTGCAATTTTGAAGTGCTGTCCGAATGTTAAGCTACAATTGCGGTGCACTGAGAAAGTAGTAGAATTGCAGATGGATGGAGAGCTACCTGAAGATTGGTGGCATTTCCTCAGATTTGTGTAGCTTTTTAAAATGACAACAGACACAAGACAAATCCATGACTTAATTATTATTAAAGTTAATAAGAATTGGTAACTGTATGGTCAGTGGAGGCAGAGTGATGCATTAAAACAGAGAATTTTCATTTATAAATTTTGGAAAATACGCTGAGTATAATATCAATTTATCACAACAATACAAGTTGGATCACTACCATAACCTGCACTGACCTGATACGTCTCAACTGAGCGTCAGCAGCGATGTAATTAATAGCGCCGAGACTCAAATCGTGTCTGAAAGTTTACTTCTGCAGAGGAGCTCCCTGCATCAGTCAATATATAGTAGTCAATAGAACTGGAGTAGGAAATAAGTGGATGATTTCAGATGCAGCCGTCATAATTGTTGTAGAACCACAGCCCAAAGATGCTTCTAATCTGAAATATCTACTCATTATCTCACTTTCTTACATGTTTCCCAGATTATTTTTCCCACAGGTGTTTCAGGACTCCTCATCTGTATGGATTCTAATACAGTCAATTCATTTTATTACTTTCCTTGTCCATACTTTATGTTTCCTATCACCTATCAATGATGCTGTTGGTGTTACATCAGCAATGCACACACACACACATACAGCTTGTCTTTCCTCCCGTCTGGTGACACTGTAGCTGTCAACAGGTAGGGAACACTTTTCCCCACAGCTGAGCTCTCCATTTCATACTGACAATGAGCTAGAGACCCAAACTCATGGGACACCTCCTGCCCGAGACACTCAGAAGTCCCTGTGTGCCTGAGCATACAAAATGTTGGTTGTCTTCACTTTTCACACTGCTTTGAAAGGCTACTTTAGGGTTGGTTTTAGAGCTAAGCTTAGATTTGGGTTTGGGTTTTGTTAAGGGTAAAGGTCGCGGTCAGTCATGTAGTTGTGATGGTTAGAGTGAGGATGCATTATGTCAGTGGGCTGTCCTCACAGAAATAGCCATACAGACGTGTGTGTTTGTGTGTCTGTCTGTGTGCGGTGATGAGGCTGAGCCACCCGACACCCTCTTTCTGCTCCCTCAGAGACTGACCACAGAGAACTGGAATAATCTGGTTTCAGCTGCATCAGGGTTGTTGTTTGGTTGGCAAAGCACATTAGTGGGTCAATAGGGTCTCTTACAGGGCGACAAAGAGATATATAGAGAGACGGAATTGAAGAGGGAGAGCGAGATTGTGCAGGAGTTTCTGTGCATGCGTTGTAGGTTTAACACAGGAAGTGTTGTACTATTGTTGTCTAACCACACCGGGGGGTTTCCCTGCCGTTACCTAGCAGCCCCTGCGAGCCCACACACTTAAGATGCCTGATAAAGAGAGGTATGGAGGTGAAGAGACACGTAAAGTAAGTACGAGAAGAGTTCTCTGACGTCAGATATGATAGCGTGCAAACAAAAGCTTGTTTGCCGCCAGTGCATGTCATACTTATTTTAGCACGCTTAATCAAAAGAACTTTTCATAACCATCTGAAACCCTGAAACCCACTGGTCGGTTTGAAAGACATGTTATTTTTTAAATCTGCAAAAATGACACAATTCATCAGAGGTGGACACTGTAAAAACAGAAAGAAAGCAGTGAATTTTTTGGAGCCTATCCCAGCTGACTTAGGGCGAAGGCAGGGGACACCTTGGACAGGTCGCTTCAAGATGAGTTTCGAAATCTGCTACTCCTTCACAGCAGGCCTGAATGGGGCTTTCCAGGGCCATGGACCACAACTGTGGTGCACAGGATCTGAAAAACGTAAAGCTCTGAAACCGGGGTGCAGTCAAATTAAATAGTAGGGTATCACAACAACATTTTAAAAAGGTTGACCCAGTAAGCAGACAGTCCTGTTATTATCACATTTGCCTGAAAACGTTTGTTTTCAGCACAAATAATCCTGCAATTCTGTGGCTTAATTGGTGCTTTAGATCATCTAATAATGTCTGAAAAAAGGTTTCAGGTGGTGGATTTGGGTGGCTTTGCAACTTTGTTTAACAGACAATCCGACAGCCACGCTCCCTTTACACAGTAAGAAACTGTAAAAACTGAAAGAATCAGTGGACTTCCATCTTTCTAACAGTCCTGGAACTATATATCCTTGACATGCTGCTTTGTTGGAAAAGTTAACCAAAAATAAGCTTAAAATCCTGCCATTTCACTGAAATCCCCTTCCACATTCCAAAAATACATAATTTACAGTATACAGACTGTGGGATAAATAAAAAATTGTGACTCACTGACTCACTTGTGACCAACAGTCACATGAGATGGAACTGGGCTGAACTGCAGGCTGTGTTTACTCAGAGCAAGGAGGAGACAAGTATGGACATGAATTGAAAATGTAAGAAGTAAAACATCTATATAGTGTGTTGACTTGCATTTATTCTTCTATTAATGGTAACACATTTTTTCCTTTTCTCATTTGTTATGGCACAATAACTGTCATACAGAACAAAAATGTTTTTTGAGTTCTTTTAGGACGTAATGTTACAGTGAAAAATGAGCCCACAACAAGCAAAAATGAGACTCATGAGAAAAAAGCATGCAGAACCTGCAGGAGGATTAAAGCTGCTTGAATTAATATATTTATAATAATTCAAGCAGACGACATATAATGTGAATGTGGTTACTTGTGGTGATCCAACAGAAAGTCTTCACCACATTTTGCAGCTCTGCTCAGATCTATGGAGTTTTAGTCTTTCAGCTCATTGTTTTGGTATGAAAGACCTTCCATTTCACTGTTTTGGATCAATTTCACAGACAAAGTTTGGTAAATAAGTGAAGCATTTAGCAGCAGATGCAGGCATTGGTGGAGACCAAAGTAGAGCTGAAAGGATGCCTTCAGTTAAACACGAAGAATTTAGGAATGTAGTCTGTGGGATGTGTAAATAAACAATTGATTGAGAAAGTTTGTGATGTTAAATTTATGAGGTGATAATAGGACGGCTTTCCACTGCAGAAATTCGATGCAGGTACGAAGTGGTGCAAACGTTTCCAGGAATGC